ACTGTAATAAAGTTCAACTTTATGCAAAAGAATAATTTTCTTGTTAAGCATGTGAACTTAAAACTTCAAGATAATATTTCAAATATATGATAAGAAAAAATTTAAGAATATTATTTATAAGATCAATATATACATATATATATATATATATATATAAGATATGAAATATATTATGTGAATTCGTGTAACATAAAAAAAAATATAAATATATAACGCATAATATAACGTAAAAAAAATAAGTTTTCGTTCAATTAGACGATGTATTCATTTGTAAAAAAAAAAGATTTAAATGATTGCAGTATTCTTTAGCCAATTCTTATTTTTGTCGAAATTAAGGTTATTTCGAGGCAAAATTCCAATTTCCAACTGTTGCGCAAATTGTTACACGCAAACGCAGTTTCGGAGGCGTGGCGATTAACAAAGGGCCCGGAAATGGCCGATAATATGCTGTTTTCTATTTTCCCTCCCTTATCCTCTTCATTTTACGATCTTTTGGTAAATGGTTTGTCGAAATCCAAGTGGCCTGTGTTACAATCAAACCAAACTGATCATTGTAAAGGGATGAACAGCATCTTGCAGAATGATTTTTCCGTTATAGTATTTTCTCTGGAATTTGAGATACACAAGTCGTTTTATCACAATAATTATAAAAAAAAAAAACACTTATTTTATTTTTATTTTTCTTATTTTATTGTTATATTGGCACGTATCGCATATCGAAATTGATATTTTTAAAAATTTACACATTTTCACATTGAGTAAACTGAATTCGTTAACCTAGAACTGCGAACTATTACTGATATATAAAATATTATATATTCTATAATCGATCTGTCCAACAATCATACACGTTGCAAACTTGTTTTTTTCGGGATATACAAAAATATTTGATAATTGATTTTTGATAATTGAATATTTTAACTTTTCGTAATCAAGTTCGATAATAATTTAGTTTCGGCGTCACAAAATCAGCACATAAAGTGCAATAGTAAAGTGAACGTAAGAAAAAGTATTTCTATGTTATGCGGCGGCAAAAATAAAAGAATATAAATTTGATTTTTAAAAACATTGTCATTAATAATACTCTATACATTATAGTTTTCAATTTAAAAAAAAAAAAAAAAACTATTTAAGATTTATTTAAGATTTCATCACGGTTCATAAATTTATCATGGTAAGCAATAAAAAGTCAGTGAATTTTTAATTATTTTGTATTAATTGTTGATTTGCATTTATCAAAAAATTCTAAAAATAAAACATTAGTTCAGAATTTTTATTGAAATATGGAAAAAGATTACCGTATTTTATAAAAAAATTCTCAATGTAAAAGATCAAATCGTTCCTAACCTTAAATTGTTGGTTTCAGGATGTATCTGCATTTTCCGAAGATACTTTCGATGTCAAAGATTGGATTAATAAAACATTTAAATCTGTCGAGGCACAAGAAAATAAAGATGTAAGTCATATAATTATGATAATCTCAATTACGCGGATTCTGTTTCTTTTCTCGACACAATTTTTGACTTCCAGCAGCACTAGTACTTTCACTAAACTGATTGCTTCCATTGGCGGTCAATGATATTCTGTCTTTTTCAAAGATATTCTTTTTTACTATGTTGCAGATTAAAGTGTAATCATTGAATAAAAAATAAATTTCAGAAATTTTTGAATCATGATTTTATATATAAATAAATATTCGAATACGAAATCGTTATAATATTTGAATTTAAATGTTTTATATATTTCCTGTTTTGCATTTTTCTATTTTTTTATTTTTTTATTTAAAAAATTAAACAAAAATATTATATTAATAGGCATTTGTTTCATCTTTGGTAATGAAGTTGCAATTATATGTGCAACAAGTTAATGGTGCTTTAGAAGAGACTAGTCAATCTGTTCTTTCAAGTTTGCCAAGAGTTTTAAGGGATACACAGTTTTTACAACAAGAAGCTTTAGCTTTGAGAGAGAAAATGATTGCAGTTAAACAAGAAATAGAAAAGGTTGTGGTTGATTTCTTTTTTTATAATATATCTTATAATATCTGTTATTACTATAATAAATTTTTTAAATAGGTTGAAAAAGATACTGCTTCATCAATGGCAACATTAGAAAAAATAGATAGAATAAAAACAGATTTACAAACTGCTAAACAAGGCTTACATGAAGCTGATAATTGGAGTGTACTTGCTAATGATGTTGAAGAGGTATAACATATAACATGTATTAAAAGTAAATCCTTATAAATTTTATCTTTATATTATTTTTAATATTTCAGGTATTTGAATCAGGTGATGTAGAAGCTATTGCAAATAAATTATTCAGTATGCAAAAATCATTGGCTATGCTTGTAAATGTTATTGATTATGAGGATAAAAAATTACAGTTAGAAGGATTAAAAAATCGATTAGAAGCTATAGCTAGTCCAAAATTAGTTCAGGCATTTACTGCTGCAAATTTAGGTATATTATATTAATCATATTATATTCTTTCTTATTTTATATTACTTGTATCTAATATTTTTGTCTTAAAATATTTAGAACAATCTAAAATTTACGTGGATATTTTTAATAAAATAGAACGTTTACCACAACTTCTTAAATATTATCATAATTGTTTGAAAGTATCATTAGGACAAGAATGGCGTCGCACTATTGAATTAGCTCAAGATGAAAATGTTTCTTACTGGTTACATACTTATTATGATAAATTATTATCTAGTTGGAATGATCAGGTAACTTTTATTTTAAAATATGTAATATCCTTTTTTTAAAATAATATGATTTTAATAAAGGTAAAATGGTGTCATCTTGTATTTCCAAATACTTCAATTGATATCATAATTGATGTATATGCTGATCTTTTGAAAAGTTTGGATCCAGGCATTCCAGAATGTATAGAATCATTTTTAAAACAACATACAAATGCTATGCAATTGTCTTTGTTACTTGAACTTAAACAAATTACAAAGCATTTTGCAGTAAATTTACAAGGTGCAATTGAAACATCATCACATGGAAAATTTCAAAACTCAAAACTGTTATCTTTGGCACAAGCAATATATGCACCTTATGTTACATATGTTGTAAAATACAATATTTATGAAACAGCTCAACTTGAACATCAGTTACAATCTATGGGTTCTGCACAAGATGATTTAAGTGATACAATCAATATTCTTTCCCTTAGCATTTCAAGAGTAATGGAATATGCAAATGAAGCCAATAAAAGATGTAAACTTTTCACAGATGGTTGTGGTTATCCTGGCTTATTAAAATCTTTGATTGTATGTTATTTTATAAATAACATTTTAAAAAAACATCTTTTCTTCAATTGTTTCTTCAAGAAAATTTACTTTTACAGAGTTATTTTAATAAATATCTTGAAAAATATCAAGCTGCTATACGACAATTAGAGCGTAAAAAAGTAAAACATGAAGATTGGAATTTATTTCAAATGTGTCTCACTTTAATGCAGACTATAGGTATTTTTATCTTTTTTTTTAAATAAATTTAATATTAATTAAATAAAGTTATTGATCTAATTTTAATGCATAGGTGATCTTTTGGGACATATTCAACAATTTGAAAAATCATTGATAATTGACATTATTGAAGCTAACAATAAGCTACAAAATACAGCTTGTAGTGTTTTCATTCAGTATAAAAAATTACTTTTAAATACATCAAATCAAACTGAATTGGAGAATTTGACTGCATCTTTCCAAAAAGGTAATATATAAATAATATATAAAAAAATATAAATAAATTTATAAAAATTTCTTAATAAAAATATAAAAATTTTTAAAAAAGAAATATTATTACTCATTTAAATCACTCTTTTTATAGAAGATGAAACAATTCTGGATCCAATAATGAAATCTATTAATAAACTATGTTCTGATTTGCATCGTGCAACATATGAAGTAATTTTTGCTCCTATATTTACACAGTTGTTATTAGTACAAAAAGCACCAGCATGGTCAACAGAAGCCAATAAAATGATTCATTTAAGTGCAGATTTACCTGATTATAGTTTTGCACCTCAAGAATATATAACACAAGTTGGACAATACTTAATGACATTACCACAACATTTAGAGCCATTTTTGCTTAGGGAAAATCCAAGTCTTACCCAAGCCTTAAAAGCTGCAGATCCACAATATACACAAAGTTCTACTGAATCTGGATTTACCGATATTTTATTAGAAATTATTACTAAAGAAACATGTCAAATGTTTCTAGATCAAACATTAGGAATTTGTCAATTAAATTCTGCAGCATGCAAACAACTTGCAACTGACATAGGTATGTTTGTAATAAAATGATATTTTTTTTTATAAAAACTTGAATATTAAAAAAAATTTTTTTATTTATTTAATATGTGTAATATTGTAGATTATCTTGGTAATGTTTTGGAAGAACTTGGTTTATCTTTATCAGAAAATCTGCAACATATGTCTCTTTTATTGAGGCTATCACCAGAAGATTATCAGAACAGCAGTTCAGGATGTAATGCTAGACTTGTAGCTGCTGTTAGACAAATGAGAAATATAACATTTTCTGCCTAAATAACATGTAATAATTATTAAGTAAATGTAATGAATATAGAAATACTATGTTGTACATTATGTAGCATTATGTTGTATAAATAGCAATTATAATTTCATAATAATTTATCTGTTTTATGTATAAAAAAATTTTTATATATTTAAGGAAGTGATACTTGTACAAAAAGTGCGTTCATATTGTATTAATTACGTGCAATATCCAAATTTATAAATATTAATTCTATTTATACTTTCTTTTTTTCATACTTTCCTTTTTTTGTATGAAAATATTGTCTCATATTATATAAAAATATTTATATTCCTTTTAATATGAAAAAATAAAGTAATAGGAAATATTTTAATATTTAACATATATAAAATTATTATAGTTAAAACATCACATATTAAATAAATAATGATCTGATTATTTATATATGATCAGCAAATAGTTATATTATTGTTTCAATATTGCATTTATAACTATATTCATTGCATCATTTATATTTCTGAAAAAATAAAATTAATAATAATTTTTTTAATCATATCACTGTAAATGTTAATATATTATTTATGTTCAGGATTGATATATATTATTATTTTTAAAATCAAAATTTAATAATACCTGTCAAAGCAAGTTACATTACAAGATTGTTTTTGGTAATGCTCTTTGGCTGCTAATGTCACGTTTTTAAGTCTATTAATAGTTGTTTTATCAGTTGATTTAAGCATTTTATATATTACTATCAGAGCAGAAAGCATGTCAATCTGAAAGATATTTGATACATAAATTAATTTAACTAAAATAATAGATTTTAAACATAATGCAAATATATTTACTTTTGTATAATTTGTTATTGTCTTTGTTAATACTTGTGTGCTCAATTTTTGGTATTTTCTTTTATTTAAAATAATTTTTAATATTTTTTTTGCTAAATAAGGGAATTGAGTAATTAAAATTTTTTCTTCTGTTATACATGAGCATTGTAACATATATGTTATTTCTGTACTTATACTATTGATTGCAGTATTAAACATAATAGTTATGTATGAGAGATATAAACTTTGATTGTCAAAAGTATTTTTAATAATTGTAAAATATTTTTCAGTTAATCCATTTAATAATTTCAAGTTCTGTAATTAATAATTTAGTTAGTGTATATTACATATTATACACCACAGTGTATATTATATATTATATTATATTTTAGTATATATCTTTTTAAATAATTAGTTACTTACATTCGTATATTTAAATAATTTATCTTTATCATATTTAGTTAGTGTAACCATCATAACACATGCGAAATTTGGTACAATAATTTCTAATAAACTTGGTTCTTGTTTTTCATAAGCCATTTTACTAAAATCTAATAACATTGTTATTGCATCAAATGCATTATTCATAAAAACTATACCAATTGCTGAAGATAAACAACTACAATATAAAAGTACAATATCACAGCATAATTTTGAAGTACTATTGTATTCTTCCAATAGATAATTTGATATATCAAAAGTACTTCTTATTATATTTATACAAGTTTGATGGTTTTCTATAGTATTTATATCTATCTGCGATATATGTGGTATTATTGTCCTGTATTAATAATAAAGGAAATATTTATAATAACAATACTTTATAAAAATTAAGAAATATATATAATTAATTTTCATACCTTCTAATCCACAATAAAATTTCTGAGAATTGTTCTGATGCTTCAAATATATCTTTCTTATATAATATTGAAATCATTGATATATATTCTTTAAAAAATTGCACAATTATATCTTTGGATATCAGACTTTTTATATTGCACTCGTTATTTAATTCTTTTTCTATAAAACTTCTTAATTTATGTAAGTTTTTCCAAAATTTAAGTATATCTTTATGATATTTATTCATTAAAACTGATTGATATTCATCATGTAATAAATGTTTTAGAATTCGTAAACTTAATTCTAAACCTTTTTCATTAATTTGAAATACATCTGTATTATTAATAACATGCTGTAAACATTTAATTATATTATTTTTTATCATTATATATATATATATATATATACATTCATTATATATACTTATACCTGATTATTTAAACTTATATTTAAAGATTCTGTAAAAATATTCGTTAATGCAAACAAAATTGTATCTCCTTTATTCCATTTCATGAGAACATGTATAACTGATAGAATAGTGTCATCAGGGGTATTTGGATTACATAATTGTTGTAGTAACATTTCAATAACTTCAATTTTATTGAAAAATAATCTCGAAGGAATTAAAGAAAATAAAAATATTACTGATTCATTTATTGGTGTTTCCTAAAAAAAAAATTAAATATTAGAAAAATCTCCTCTTTATATTCCCATTTTTGAAAAATAAATTATTCTTACTCTAAGATACTTAAAAAATTCTGGTAATGCATGTGCAATTGCTCGTAAAATATTCATCTCTTCTTTATAGAATTTTTCTTCCTTTGTATTTTTAATATTTCCTATTAATAACATAGCAATAACATCAATATATATATGTACATCTTTATAATTATTAAGGTTTTTATTCCAACTATTCAAAGAATCTGTTAAAATAAACATAATTAATTTAATTTTAAATTTAATATATTACATATACATCATATTACCATTTATATATTTGCTTTTCTTATTATCAATTTTGATCTTTTTATTACAATTTTTATTTAATAATTTCATTAGAGGTAAACATTTAATTTCTTCTTTTATCATAACTAATAGAGTTTCAATAAGTTTGGTGGATGTATTCCAGCTTATAACAGGTTTAGAATGGAAACAAAATCTTCTAATAGCATTTATATTACTTGTACCTATATATGCTAATTCATCTATTATTTTATCACAGTGTGTACCATTTAATGATATACGTAACCAAATTAGTTTTATTAATTCTTGTAATAAAAATGTATCTTGAGTAGTCTAAAAATAATATAATTAAATTTATAAATAAATATAATAAAATAAATACAATTAAATTATTTTATAGTAGTCAAAATTTTATTTATTATTACATACCTCTAAACGATCGAGAACATAAGTCAAAGGTATTATATTCCAAAATGGTATTCCAAGTTGATTTTGTACATGCCAAAGAAGTTTAATTAGTGCTTCTAATACCGCTTTATCTTCATCATAAATACTGCTTGCAAAATTTGGTAGAAAATCTATGAGTATTCTACGAGATCGTTCTTTAATTAATATTCTTGTTAAACCAATAAAAACATTTGCTCTTATTTTGGAATTATTAGCATTTTTTGTATAATGTAATAAAATGTTTAACCAATCTCGAATAATATTTCTTGGTACAAAATTCCAATATTTTTCTAACATCTTAAATAGTTCCTAAAAATATATACATTTTTAAAATATCGAAATATTATACACAAGACATATATATATATTTTATATTTAAAATTAAAAAAATTAAAAATAATTTAAATAAATTAACTTACATTCATAGTAACATTACACACTTCAAAATCTGAATCTTTTAAAAGATCAGTTATTATTTTATAATATTTTTGAAGATAAATTTTATTTCTATCCTTTGAAGCACATGTATATTGTACAGAACTTGTTACAAAAAGAATTTCTACAGCATTACATCTGATGAAAGAACCAGGTGCCTGTGGTAAAAACTTAATTTATTTTTCATAAAAAAATTTATATTTTTTATATTTATATTATATATATATTTTTTTATATTTATATTATATAATTTATATTATATCAATTTCAAATATATATATATATATATATATATATATTTTTATAATACCTTTAAATGTTTCCAAAGCAAAGGTTTACATTGATTGTGAATCATTGACCTAGCTACTTGCTGTTTATTGTTATGTATAGCAGTAAGAAGTGACAGCAGATTTTTACCAAGTTTTCCTCTTCCAGCAGAATCTCTATATGCCCGAAAGCAATGAAAAATAATATTACATAAACAACTTTCAACAATAAATTTTTTTAATTTTTCAGTTGCATTTAACCATGCTATTATATATAAATCTGCATATGCAGCAATATAATTATGTCCAATATTTTGTAATACCACTCTTATATTATTATGTATTCCCTAAAACAATCATTGTGTTAATGCTAAGTATAATAAATATTAATATTTGAATATGTAATTATACTATACCAATATATATTGTTCGCCAAGTGTAAATAAATGTAATATTAACATTCGACCTTCTTCTAGTGATATCACAGTTTTTTCTCGAACAAGTTTAAGTAGTTCTTGTATATCTTCTGCACATTTTAGCAATGTAATAGCAGATCTTATCTCATATAAACGCTTTACATGTTGCTAAAAATATAATTAATTTAACATCATTTGTTGACCTATGTATGATATATAAATATAAATATTATTAATTACCAGTGAAGATTTGCAACTTTGAATAAGATATTTTAATGCATTTATTATTACTTTTTCTTTCCATATCATGTTTAACATCCACCATTTTTCCAACAAATATGATATTTCATTCTTAATCTTAAAAAATTTTTTAAAATTAATCAAGATTATATCAAAATTAAAGTTTTTTAAAATATATCAAGAAATAAAATATGATGATTAAATACCAACCTGTTCATCCTTTACATTAAGTAACACAACAGAATGTAGTAACATTATATTTTGCAATAAAATATTGGGTACAAACATTCGTTGTACAATTGTTTCAAGAGCCATTGAAGTTATTGTATGTATCAATTTAACCATAATATTAAATTCCTGAAAAATTATGATATAAATATAATATATTCAATAATAATAATAATAATAATAATAATAATAATAATAATAATAATAATAATAATAGTATAATAATAGTATAATAATATAATATAAAAAAACCATAGAGAACATTTATATAAATAATCTTACTCTCAAATATTTGCCTTTATTATTTGATGCCTGAATATATAATTTTTGTGCTTTTAAAAGTATAGTTTTCACATGTTGCCATAGTTCACAAAGTTCATCTTCTGATAACAAGACAATATTTTTCACATTGTAATTCTAAAATAATAATTTATTGTAATTATATTGTTTATTATATAATAAAACAAATAAAATAAACCTTACTATTTACAAATTTATTTTGAAGGTCATCAAAAAAATTAATTAATAATAATGCAAAGTATACATATATTATAAGAATATATATTTTAAGAATAGTGTTAATAAAATATGTAATTTTTATGCGTTGATAAATACCAATTTTTCACATATGTTGCTAACGGTTGGACTTTTATTTTTTAATATTCGAAAAAGTACTCTATCCCTTGGTAATTCACATTGACGCAACATTTTTTAAAAATATTATCAGCTTCGATTTTTAAAATTAAAAGTCAATTATTTACGCATTTTATTAAAATCTGAAAAAACGATACATTATATCTGATACATAAAAATAGATATTAATTTATTTTTTAATATAATAAAATACAACAAAACAGACATTTTAAATTTCGTAAAGTATTTTTTGTATTTCTTACGAATATTTGTACTTACATATATTTGTATTATTAAAATAAATAATTATATTTTAAATATATAACAAATATATAATAATAATAATAACAAAAATATAAATATTTACAAAAAAATATTTTAACAAATCTTATATTATGAATATTATGAAATAGTTATAATAGTAATTTTTGGAAATTAATAAATAATAAAAGATTATTATAAATTATCTTAAAAACAATTTAAAATAAATTTAATAAAATTAACTTAAATATAATTTCTTATTTTAATATTAATAATAATAATAATGATTATAAACAATATTATGAATTTAAATTTATGATATTTTACAAAATATAATACACGTGTAATAATATTAAATAAATATAAGTTTTAAGAAAAAATATATACAAATATTAAATATTGACTTCATATAATTTAATTATCATCTATTTTGGTCATACAGTAATATTATATAAAAAGAAATAAGATATTTACACTTTTGAATCAAATTTATTATAAAACTTAACAAAATCTATTACTTTTATTTACTATTTTATGAAAACCGCCATATTGATCGTATAATACAAAATGATTGTAGTTTAGATTTGTTTTTAAAAATTATATTACAATGAATATAATTAGAATAATATATATTATATATGTATGTATAGTTATTTATTAATGATACTAATAATATTAATATTGATATTAAAATAACCTATAATGTTAAACAAATTTACATAACTAATAAAGAAAAAATTGTATTTAAACATAGATAAGATATATATTTTACCAGGGTTGTCAAGAAAATCACTACGCTTTTGCGTTGTAAGAAAAATTCCCTCGCGAGAGGAATTTGCTATATTCTGATTTTCTGTCACTCTTTAAGTGTGAGTGACGAGTAGTGACAATGTCACTCTCTTTCGCACTAATATTTGATTTTTTTCCATTATTCTCTTAATCTGGTAACATTTGAACCTATGAGAGATATCATTGAGATATGAACAGTAGAGAGGAAACCATTGAAATTAATAGAGAAACACATTATTTGATAAAACGATACGATACGATGATGTCACGCCATCTATTCGCCATACTATATAGTACGTTATATTATCAAGTAGATAATATCATCTCATCACCTCGTGGTGTTAAGTATTATGCGTTATTAAGAATAATTAAGAATAATAAATTAAGAATATTTTAAATATTTTCAATTACTTAGTGTAACGTAAGAAAAAGAATAGAAATATGATGATAAATTGGAGAATTTTTACAGTGACACAGATAAAATAGATATATAATATAGAGGAAAGTAAATAATAGAAATAGGAAAACATTTTTGTATAATCACTTAAGAGATGGCGCTAATTCTTATTTCTTATTCTATTTTATCTTACCTTTAAAATATAAAAATATCTTTTATGTTTTTTTTTATCATTCAAGAGATGGCACATTTATATTATTCCACATTTATATTAATTCCATAATTTTGCTCTATCTTTATTCTTTTTCTTTTTTTTGTTAAGAAAAACGATTTCGTTATCTAATTAACTTTATTGTTTCCTGTAAAAATAAAAATATAAAATATATTAAGATATGTAAAAAAGATATTATATATATATATATATATATATATATTAAATATATATTTAGATGTATGAAATAAGTATATCCAATTTTTTATATTTTTGATTAAGAGAAACATAATATAAGTGGATTATTTTATAAATACTATTTCATATTTAGAATTTATGTATTATTGAAATAGTGATCTTTTTATTTAATTATTATATTTATTATTATTAAATTTTTAAATACATAAATTAAAATGTAAAAATTGTTAAATTATTAATTATTATATTTAAAAAATTATTTTTAATAACATTTTATAACAATAAGATATCAAATTTTATAAGATAATGAGTTTATTTGTTTATGATTATACTAATAATTAATATTTTTTATTTAGACGAACAAACTTTTTGCTTACGATTCTAGATGGCATTACAATTCCATAATTATAATGCCATCTATTGTGAATCATTATTTCTCAACGTTGAATACAATTTTGAATTATAAATATGGAGTTTGGTGTACAACCGTTATAAGTGTGATAGTGTTAAAACAAAATATACTTTTAAATATATTATTTTTCTGATGAACAATGGTACAAAGACGTTGTTATATAACCGAAGATTATTGTATATTTGATAAAATCATGATTACTTGTGTTATTTTATTCATGCAGGTTATAAATCGTAGGAATTTTGTAAAGTTTAATGCTTGTGCAATATGCACATAATAGAAGTTTGATCTATATCGTCGATTAAAGTATTTCTGATTTATATTTGTATTTTTACATATTAATTTTAGTCAAAATAAAATGAATATTAATTGCTGTTAAATAATACTTTGACTAAATCCTACAGCAAACGTAAAGTAAATATTATTAAAGATTATCTATTTATAAATGAATAATTATAAATGAATTTTTTATATTTAAAAAAAAAACTTTAAACTCTTTAGTTTTTTTACAAAAAAACTCTTAGTTTTTTTACAAAATTAGATATTTCTTGATCTATTTTTTATTGCAAATGTTTTAATAATAATTAAATGTTTTTACATTGAATGATCAATTGTATTATCAATTGATATATTTTTATTTTTATGAATTTTGTGCAAAAAATTTTTATTTAAATGAATTTAAAAGACTTCATATGCATTTCTATACATTTATCTACAAAAATTGTTTACATTAAATTACTTCTACTGTAAAACAGTAAAAATCTTATTTGAAACATTTTTTAAATAACATAGTTTAGGAGATAATTATATTTACAAATTAATTAAATTATTATATTTGTGACAGGAAATAAATAGAAAATATATTATGGTATGTTATGTTACAGGGAAAATATACTTATGTACTTATATATTGCAATATTTCGCGCTTTTTCTCGAGTGACGCGTCTGTATAAATAATGTCTCAACGCATCGATAACACTATGCAACAACTTGAAAGAGAATTAGTTGCAACAAGATCAGAATTGAGTGGAATAAAAAGAACATTAGGTAAAGTGATTTGCAATTTATATGTAAAAATTTTAACAAATAAATGAATGTCAGTAAGGATTTTTATTTTGTACATGTTTCTTATTCTATATTTTTATTCCATTTATATAAATATCTATATAATTGAATATTGTTAAATTTATATATTGCTATATCAATTAACAAAGAGATCATGGATTCTTTTTGATTAGCCCATGATAACTATCATTATTACTTGTAAATTTTTAAAATTTATATATTTATATATATTTTAATGATTTTGATTACTAAAATTTAATGTATGTATGTATATATATATATAAAATTATATATAAAATTATATATAAAATTATATATAAAATTATATCTTATAATGTTAGAATTAGAACGCCAAGAAAGAAGAGATTTAGAAACTAGAGCTTTAAGTTTAATAAAAGATGCTAAACGCAAATGGGAAAATGCAGAGAAGGAAAAAATTACACAGTTAAATAAACATATTGAATCACAAACTGTCAGAATTACAGAATTATGCACCAGTAATAATGAAATGAGTTCAAGATTGCAAAGAACAGAATGTGAACTTCAGACAGCAAATGCAGAATTACACAAACTTAGAGTATTTCAGGTTAATAGCTTATATTATATATCACATATTTTTATAACAAAAAATTAAAATAATTTTTATTTTGTCAGATGCAATATAAAGAATCATTAGCTAAAACAAGAGAACGTAGTCGACAAAGTGTTCAAGGTGTTGAAACTAAATTGGAGGAAATAGCTACACGTTCACATAATCAAATAGCTGAACTTAGAGCAAAATTAGATTTAGAAATAGCCAAAAATACAGATTTGGAAGCTAAATTTAGAAATGAACAAGATTCTAATCATTGTCGTCAATCAAGATTGAATGTTGCTTTAGAATTAGCTCAAAATGAACTTAAGGATTGTCAAGAACAATTAAATAGTATACAAGCTACAATACCAGCTAGAGATACAGAAATAGAAGCTTTAAAAAAACAATTACAAGAAAGATCAAAACAATTAGATAATGCTATGGCATCAAAACAAATAATTACTACAATGCAAGAACAGCTAGAAATGTCAAAATTTGAAAATGAACAATTGAAACAACAATTACAGGTATGTAAATATTATTTAGTCCAATATAATTATTTATTCATTTTTATAAATTTTTTTTCATTTATAATGAATATATATTATAAATATGATTCAAGATAATAAAGTCTGATTTAAATGAAACTATGATAAACTTGGAACAGAGTGAAGCCCATGCTCTAAACTTGGAACAAGCTGCACAAGATAAAGCTGCTTTACAAAAAAGATTGCAAGATTCTCTTGAAAAAGAAGGTATATTTATATGAGAACATATAAATAATATGTATAAATATATAATATAATATATAATATAAAATAATATCTAATAAAACATTTTATTTATTTATAGAAGAACATTTGCGTAAAGTTGGAAATTTAGAAGAATTATTACGGCGTTTGGAACAGAGTGTTACTAAATTAGAAGCAGAAAATGCTACTCTTAAAATGGAAACTATATCTCCAAGTCCAGATATGATATCTAAGAATGATATAATAAAAATAGATATGCATTCAAAAGAGCAAATAGAAAAACTAGAACAAGAACTTCAAGCAATGAAAGAAAATTTAAATGTAGAACGTCAAACTGCAAAGCAAGCACAAATTAGTTTATGGAAAAAAGAAAAAGAATTATCAGATGCAAATTTAGATAAACGAATTGCAATAAGAGAAGCAAAAAAAGCAGAAGAAAAAATTAAAACTCTACAAGAAGAAAAGCAAAAATTAATTGAGAAATTAGATTATAAAATAAAAGAAGAAGAAGAGAAATCGAGAAAATTACTTAAAGAGCTAGATAGCGCAAAAGTATCATTAAATGACATTACGAAAGAATCTTCTAAAAATAAAATGCAAGCTGATTCTGCTCAAAAAGCTTTAACTCAGATCAATCATCAAATAGAAGAACTTCAATCTTCGAGTTCTTCATTACGCAGAGAATTGGATGCGGCGCGAAAACAAGCAAGATTAAACCAAGATCGGGTGGATAATTTAAATGCTGAAAATAAGCGTTTGTCACAAAGCATTACAAGACACAATGAAGAAAAACATGAATTACAGTTGAAAATAGAAAAATTAGAACAAGAGATTAAAAGTTATGAAGTGAACACTGAACTTTTGAAAGAAACGTGCACAGTACTTGAAGAACAACTCACAGATTATGAAAGATTAACAAGCGATCATGAAACGCGAGAAAATATATTAATTCAAGATAAAATGAAATTACAAAAAGATTTGGAAACAACCGAGGCGAAACTTCGAGAAGCACGTTCTGCTCAAAATGAAGAAAAATCACTAAGACTGGAAGCAGAACGAAATATTGAAAAACTTGAATCAGAAACGAGTGATATAGAAACTGAAAGAAATAGTTTGATTGCTCAAAGGGATCAATATAAAAAACTTGTACAAGAATTAAGCGCACAAGTCGAAGAGTTATCAAATAAATGCGGAGAATTGGAATGTGATCTTTCAGAAATGCAGCGAGTTTTGGAAATCACCAAAGCTGAAACAAGAGTAGTCAAAGAAGAAAGTAGTCAACATCTAACAAAGGTTCACGAGTTGAAAGAGGCGAATTTTGTATTAATGAACGATTTGCAGAATAATATAGATCAAAGTCAAGAACTTAGGATGAGAATTACAGAATTGGAAAGTATTTTAGAGGAAATGCGACAATTTTATCAGGAAAGAGAAGTAAAAGCAGAAAGCACTAGACAACAACAAACAAAGTTAATAGATTACTTGCAATTAAAATTAGAAGAGTGTAGTAAAAAGAAGAAAACAGTATGTGATAAAATACTTGGTACTAAACAAAAAGAGAATATACCTCCTAATGGTATTGGAATGCCGGTTGGATATCGTGAATTGGAAAATCAATTGGCGAAAGAACGCGCCAAAGTCAAAACGTTAACTGATCAATTGTTAGCACTGAAAACTATACACTCTTCAGCCTCCGCACCTTCGTCTCCTACAGCGCCAGATATTAAAAGTATAAATTATACTACAGAACCATCGACCACTTCATTATCTAAACGTTTATCGCCGCAAAGGATTGGTCATCATATTCCACATCGATTTGAAGTTGGTTTGCCAATGCGAGCTGGAAAATGTTCTGCATGTTTAGAATCTATCCAATTTGGAAAACGAGCAGCCATTTGCAGTGAATGTAAAGTAATGACACATTTAAAATGCGCTGTTACTATTTCTGCAACTTGTGGTTTACCAAGAGGTTTTGCCAAGCAATTTGGTAAAAATTGGAGAAGTAGTAACGAAAGTTTATCATTATCTGGAAGCGTTCAAACGTTAGCTATAGATCAACCAGATAAAGCTGACATGGTATTATATTTAATATTTTAATTATATAATTCTATATTTTATAATAATTTGTGATTATCTTTGAAAATAGGATGTATGTGAGACACAGAATAAGAATAATACGCCAATGGAAAGTTGGGTGAAAATACCAGACCGTTCAAGAACTTGTTGGGAAAGAAAATATCTCAGATTAGATGGGACATGTTTATGCACTTACGAGCATCAACCGTCTTCCGGAATGGCCCCAATAAATCGTCTAGATTTGATCGAGAAAGATGGATTTACTGTATTAGATACTGTACATAATCCAGATGTAATAGGAACAGCAAAATCAGATATGCCATTTATCTTTAGAATAGAATCTAATTCATCGACTACTTGTTGGCCGACATCACGTTTAGATATAATGGCTTTAAGTCAGACTGATAAGAAAAATTGGATGAAGGCCTTGAAATCTGTTACTAGTCAAAATAATATTCATAAAAATAGAAAATACGAAATCATGTTAAGATTAGAAAAAAGTCAAGTAAGCAACTTTTTCTATTTTTAAACAGAACTTATATGATTTATTCATAATACATAAATATTTTTTAGTTGGATTTAAATTGTGCTGTAAATTTGACTGAAGAGAACGTATTACTCTTGGGTGCTGAAGAAGGTTTGTTTTCGTACTGTGGTGTTAAATCACGAACACTTACTGCAATTCGTGGAGTGACGAGAGTGCATCAATTAACTTTACATCCCCATTTGGGAATAGCTTTAATGATAGCTGGAGAAAATAGGCAATTAGTATCTTGTAGTTTAAGACAGTTAAAAAGTAATGCAGTAGCGGCTGAATGCTCAAGACCAGCAATTAATACAAAGACAATATTAACTAGTACTGATAGTTGCCATTTATATCAATTAGAAAGAGATATGCTTTGCGCAGCAACAGCTTCTCACGTAATGTGAGTATTTTTAATTTATTTATGATCTTCAATATTTTTTATATATATAATAATCTTAATAATAATATATAATAATATAAACTTTATGTTATAAATATAGATTGCTTAAATGGTACACTGAAGAAGATTCTGGAGAATTTATTGGAGTTCGTGAACTTGAAACATCTGAACCATGTAGTTGTGCTATATTTACTCAAAATGTTCTTATAGTAGGATGTAATAAATTTTTCCAAATCGATCTTACAAATTATTGTATCGATGGTATATAACAAAAATTAATTGAATTTTTTTAATAAATTAATTTAATATAATTAATGTTTCGATTTATGTGATGTTATAGAATTTCCAGAAGAAGACGATAGTTCAGTCAAAGCTGCACTATCGGGAGTAGCTAAATTAGGCATTTTTCCAGTTTGTGTTTTGAATGTTTCTCTTGTACCTGGAAAAGTAGAGCTTCTGCTTTGCTATAATGAATTTGGAATGTTTGTAAATGAAAATGGCCAAAGAACTCGCAATATTGATCCAACATGGAATCATTTACCTTTTGCTTTTGGTAAAAAATATTCATAACATTGTTAAAAAAATATAAGGATCATATTTAATATAAATAAAATTATTTATATTTTTACAGCTTTTCGAAAACCGTATTTGTTTATTATTCATTTTTCATCTGTGGAAATTGTAAAACTTGATCAGGAGGTATATACTTTGTCGACAAAGAATCCAGAACGAATCTTAATCGAATTATCTAGTCCTCGTTACTTAGGAGTGGCTGGATTAAAAGGAATTTACATAGCAACGATGAATTCTTTCTTAGAATTATTAAAGATTGAAGGTTCTTCCAACATACCGGAATTAAATGGCAGTCTTACAAGTTTGGATACTTTGTACGTTATTAAAACATATTAATTTAAGATTATAAAAATCGAACTAAAAATATTAATGTATTTTTTAGAGATCGCGATGACGAAAGCAGTTCAGAATTTAGCTTTACTTCGAGCTTAATGGAGACTTTAGATGACCAAGGGAAAAAAGTACGTTTTACTGGTGTTTCTAAATATTGAAATATTTTGATATTAAAAGTAATATATATTGTGTTTTTTTTATATCACTATAGAAGTTATTATAGGAGAATTAAGATCAAGATTGTAAAAATTTAGTAATAATTAAAAAAAAACAAAGTTTAATTAATGTGTCATAAGTTATGATTATATATTTAACTTGAATAGTATATATTTTTTTTTTTTTTGCTAAATAACTTGTAATTAATACATAATTAAAACAAATGTACTCAAATTTTTTGAATGGAAAATTTTTTTTTACTTTACTTAATTTTTTTTTAATTAAAAACATGAAATGTTATTTGATATAAAGAAGAATGATCGTGTAGTATTAATTGACCAAATTTTGTTGTATTTATACGTGTCATAAAAATAATTCTTTATTTTTTTACAATTGCAACTTTCTTTATATTTATATAGTTTTTATAAAAGAGATTTAATATTGATATTTAGTACTGGTGATTAGTACTGATATGCATAGATTTAAGAAATATATAGATTATAATAATATTATTAAAGAAATGTGACTATAACAAATATATAATATATTTTCGAATTCCTATATTGATAAAAAATCTTTGTAATTTTATAGTTTAAAATAAAACATTATTATTAAGAAAATAATGATATGTTTTGTCTAATCATTCTTTTATCAATATTAATTAATATCATGTTTCTTTTGTTATATGAATGTAAGTGTATTACATAATTGTAATTTGTATAATGAAAAATGATCACGAGGAATATTTAATCATTATATCATAAAATATATATGAGGAATAGCATTAATATGATCATTGAAGTTCATTTTATGAATAATTTATCAATTAAACTATATCATATCACGGTCAATCAAACTGCCATTAGTGAACATATAACTTACTTATACTGGCATATATTATGATTTCTTTTTATAAAGTTTGATTTAAAGAGTGCATAAACAAATGAGATTTGAATTTATATAAGATATAAAAATTTATCATTTATTTATTTATAATAAATCTATTTTTTAAATATTTTTGATGAGCGATACATGGCGTTTATTGTGATAAAATTTGAATTTATTATAATATTATTATTATATTTATTTATGTATTATAATTCCTTGAACTTGAATTTCAAATAAAAATTTAAATATATTTTGTACAATACAAAAACAGGGCAAACAGGGCAAATAATTATGTAGAATAATGCGACATCCGGCCACCTTTGACATTTATATCATTGAATAAACGAATATTCATTGAGAAAGGCAATAATTCAAATATGCTACTTATTATACTTATACACTGCTAATTTCAATACAATTTCTTCTTTTTTGGCGATAGAAAAAAGAAAATGTTGCACATTCATATTATTTTACTTAATATATGAACAAATGAAAAAAGTAAAATAATAATAATCAATAAATAAATTCGATATTCGATATAAAAAAAAATGCAATTATCTGACGATTATTCCATTAATTTAATTTAAAATGATTACCTTATCTTTGATTTAATTCGCGATACTGCTAAATAAAATATTGTAAAAAAATTATGAAAAATGGCGAATAAAAACTTCATAAATTTTTAATTATTTAATTTCTTAAATTTTTCAATAAAAATAAATTTTCGTAAAATAATTTCACTTTCGTTTTCTATAAAATGAATCGATTGATATATCATATATTGTATTTTGTTCGAAAACGAAAATTTTCTTAGAAATATATCGATCCTTAATTCGTATTATATATCTAATTCATGATTTCAATAAATTTTAGCCTAGATTTCGTCATTACGTTTTCTTAAAGTCCTTTCTGAGACGTTCAACCATGTAATCCCATACATAGTACTTATTAAGAAGATTAAATACCACAATAAAATACTCTTGAAAAAATATGGCCTATAATTTTTTTAATCGACAATATATACAAATCTAAAAAAAATTTTTCGGCCAATTTAAATTTTATCAGTGCTAACATAAGAACGATGAATTCAATTGATTAGACTTTCAAAAATTATTTCGACCTGTAATCATTAAATATGCAAATTTTGAGAATATTCAAGAAATGATTCTTTTCACATAGAGGGGAGAGACATTGTTATAAAAAACCTTTCTCAGAAGTCGAGTCTTCAATTATATATCCATTTTTCTCCCATTGATTTCGGTTGGCTATTTATTATCTTCAAGACATCCTTTTTTTTTTTTTTTTTATTCTAATATTATTTCTTCTTATAATATACACCAACTTTTTGATTGCACTGAAAAAAATAAAAATTAGAGATAGAATTTAGAGGGATATTAATTTCAAAAAATGTCTTTTAACGTACGAGATCCGTTAAAGATGAATTACGCCATAACGGAACCAGGAGAGGAAGTGGTGATCACAGGAATCTCTGGACGATTTCCAGAGAGCAGGAATATAATAGAGTTGAAGAACAATTTGATGAACAAGGTGGACCTCATCACAGACAATTCTACAAGATGGGTACAAGGTAATCGAAATTTAACTTGGAATTATATTCAAGAATGATGAGATGAGATCTTCGTTAAATTCGAACAGATCACGCGGAAATCCCGAAAAGTGGCGGGAAAGTGACCGATTTAACCAAGTTCGACGCCATATTTTTCGGTGTCCATTACAAACAAGCTCATACCATGGACCCTATGTGCCGGATATTGATGGAACACGCTTACGAAGCCGTTATAGATGCGGGGATAAATCCTAAACTGTTCAAGGGTAGCAATACCGGGGTAGTTATAGGATCTTGCGTCAGCGAGTCGGAGAAGACTTGGTTCTACGAAAAGTTACAAGTACAACTTTTTAGGGATACTTTAATTCGTCGTCCTTTCCTAAATATATTTTTAATTCTTTTAATATTTTCGTTCCATATATTATTCCAGGCGAACGGTTTAGGTATCACCGGATGCAGCAGAGCCATGCTGGCCAACAGGATATCATATTTCATGGATCTGCATGGCCCGTCTTACACGATTGACACAGCCTGCAGTTCGAGTATGTTCGCCTTGGATCAAGGTTACAGGTTGATTCGAAATGGAGTGTGCGACGCAGTGATCGTGGGTGGCTCCAATCTCTGCCTTCATCCCTACGTATCTCTTCAATTCGCTCGTCTCGGTAAATGACAATAATTTTGCCAAATCGATTTGTCTTTTCTTTTTTTTTTTTTTTTTTTTTTTTATACATTTGGTTGTTTCAATCGATCAAATAATGACGATGATCTCTACAAATGCATATCATTTTATCATTAAATGATAATTCGAATGCATTTTACTTTGGCAATTGTAATATAATTATAATAAATATAATCCCCTCTTTTTTTTTTCTTTTTTTTTTTTAAAGAACATTTGATTATTTCAATCAATCGAATAACAATCACGTCTCTCTCTCAATCTTCGTGCTTTATCATTTTTTAAATGGCAGTTCTTTTTCTATATTAACGATTAAACGTATTTAAAAAAAGGATCCTTCAGGATATATCATTTTTGATTTTTAAAATTCAGGAGTGTTATCTCCTGATTGTCGATGCAAAAGTTTCGACGCGAGGGCGAACGGTTACGGGCGCAGCGAGGCGATCAGCGTGATCCTCTTGCAAAAGGCGAAGAATGCGAAGAGAGTCTACGCGGAACTCGTCTACACGAAGACCAATTGCGATGGATACAAGGAGCAGGGAATCACGTTCCCTGCCAGCGAGATACAGAAACAGCTTCTCACAGATTTCTACAAGGAGTGCAACATATCACCTAACAAGTTGGCCTTCTTGGAGGCTCATGGTACCGGAACCGCAATCGGTGATCCCGAAGAGCTGAACGCAATCGATAAAGTTTTCTGCCAGAACAGAACCACTCCTCTTAGGATTGGCACCATCAAGTCGAATATAGGGCACAGCGAACCCGCCAGTGGTCTTTGCTCGATAGCCAAGGTACGAAAATATTGAAACACTTTCCCTTTTCTTTTTTTTCTCAAAATTTCTTTTTTTTGAATTTCTTCTGAAACAATTTGATGAGATGTGAAGAGAAAGTTACGCAAGTTAAATATATAATTATTGATTATTTATGGAAACGCGAGATATATATTTAGAAACAATGAGAAAAAGAACGAATTCTTTTTACCAATTATTGTTACCTTTAAGGTAATCATCGCGATGGAAAGCGGTATAATCCCGCCGAACATAAACTTTATAAGTCCTATGAAGGGTGTGAAGTGCTTCGACGAGGGGAAAGTCGAAGTGATCACGGAGCCAACCCCATGGGAGGGTGGTTACGTAGGAATAAACTCCTTTGGTTTCGGTGGCGCCAATGCTCACGCGCTCTTGAAGTCCTACACGAAAGATAAAGTGAACAATGGAGCGCCTTCCGACGATTTGCCGAGACTGGTGATTGTATCTGGCCGGACCGAAGAGGCATTGGAAGTTCTCCTCGGTCATGTATGTGTATTCGTTTATTTTATATAAATTCTAAAAAGAAATTGACTAATGAATTTTTAAAAATTATTACATCAAGTTTATTTACCAACATCAATGTTAATTTCTGGATTAATTCTATCAATACATTACTGTTCTAATATTGATATTGCATTTTGATCAATTATATATATATTATAAAATATATTCAGGATGACTTTTTCGATTAATCCGTATAAATGGTGCTTCATTTTATTTTTTGGTAATATATGTTCATATTAGATGAAATATATTTTATTGTTCATATAAATTAAAAAATGAGAATCGATTTTGTAGATCGAAAGTATACCAGTAGACGTGGAATACATCCGATTATTGTACAACGTTTACTGCGAAAATATACCCGGTTACATGTTCAGAGGGTATACCATAGTTGGATCTAAGATATCTGAGAAACCGTCGAGGGAGATTCAAGAATATTCCGACACGAAAAGACCGATTTGGTTTGTTTTCTCTGGGATGGGCTCGCAATGGGCTGGAATGGGTACGTAGTATATAGAAATTTAAATTCTAATATAAAAAATAATATAAAAATTAAATATAAAAATATAAAAATATAGAATAATAATTATAATATAATAATATAGATAAAATATATAGATTAAATATAATAATATAGAATAAAAATTAGCGAATAGTTTGTAAATTTGAATTTGAAATCCAACTCCAAAGGGGAAGCATTGATGAGGTTCCCAATCTTCGCCAAGGCTATCCACAAATGTGATAAAGTGTTAAAGCCCCACGGTATCGATATCATCGACATAATCACTAATAAGGATAAAAAGATTTTCGATAATATTTTGAATTCGTTCGTTGGAATCGCTGCTATTCAGGTATGAAAAGTTTCGAATATTTTCTTCTTGGAAACTGATTATATCCTTAATTACCAATCGTTTGTTGACAATAAATTCGATGTTTGGTTCAGATCGGTCTCGTTGATTTATTAATAAGCGTGGGTATCGAGCCGGATAATATGATTGGCCATTCCGTCGGAGAACTTGGCTGCGCTTACGCGGACGGATGTTTCACGGCCGAACAAATGATACTCGCGGCCCATTCCAGAGGCTTAGCTTCCATCGAGACTAAAATGATCCAAGGATCGATGGCGGCGATTGGCCTCGGATACGAGGAGATTAAAAATATATGCCCGCCCGATATCGAAGTCGCTTGCCACAATGGTCCTGACAGCTGTACGATAAGTGGTCCAGCTCAATCCATGAAGGAATTTGTTGCCACCTTACAGGTTCGTTTTTTTTTTTTTTTTTATCACGAGTTCGAACGAGCTTTTCTGAAGCTTGATTTTCTAATCGTTTCAGGCCAAGAACATCTTTGCGAAAGAAGTGCCATGCAGCAATATAGCTTATCACAGTCGTTACATCGCGGATGCGGGGCCGAAATTATTGTCATATCTGAAGAAAGTTATTCCCAATCCAAAAGCAAGAAGTTCCAAGTGGGTGAGCACTTCCGTGCCGCAAAGTCAATGGCACACGGAAGCTGCCAAATATTCTTCCGCGGAATATCACACGAATAATTTGTTGAATTCGGTGTTGTTCGCTGAAACGGCGATTATGATCCCAAATGACGCTATAACCATTGAAATAGCGCCTCACGGTCTCCTCCAGGCAATTTTGAAAAGATCTTTGGATCAGAACGTGATAAATATTTCGTTGATTCACAGAAATCACAAAGATAACGCGGAATACTTTTTGCAAGCGCTCGGAAAATTGTACAATATTGGTCTCCAATTACAACTCGCAAATATTTATCCTCACGTAGAGTTCCCTGTTAGCCGTGGCACCTCCATGATCTCTCCTTATATCAGGTGTGTAATGACAGGTGAATGCAATGTCAGTTAAGAATCGTTTTAATGGAACGAGAAATTGTTGAATTTCAGATGGGAACACTCCGAGGATTGGTACGTGGAAATCAACACTCAACGTCAAAAGATTACCAGAGCGGAACGAGTAATCGATATTAATCTCAAAGACGAAAATTACGAGTACATAACGCATCACGTTATCGATGGAAGAAACTTAATCCCGGCCATGGGCTATCTGGTCATGGTTTGGGACATGTTTAGTTTAATGGAAGGGAAATTTTGCGATGATATGCCGGTTGTTTTTGAAAATATCAAATTCGAACGTGCAACAAGCATTTCCTCAACCGGTACCGTTTCGTTGAAAATCATAATTCAAAAAGGTACGATTCTTCCTCCATCGAGTTATCGACTGAAGATAATGAAAATTTAAAATTAAATCACCGTTTATTACCGACATATTATCGCTCGATATATTTTAAGGATCCGGAAGATTCGAGATAACAGAGGGATCTGCAGTAGTAGCGACAGGTACAATCCGCATGGAATTGAATCCCAAACAAGAAATGATCGAAGAAAAGTTTCTCGCCAAGATCGAGGACGAAGAAGTTCTGACCAATAAAGATATATACACGGAGTTAAGACTTCGTGGTTACGAGTATGCCGGTCCATTCTGTGCATTGAAAAGCTCCTCTCTCAAAGCAACGAGAGGGCATATCGCTTGGATGAAGAATTGGGCCGTGTTTATGGATAACATGTTACAAATGAAGATATTAGGTTTTGATACTAAATCGTTGTATGTACCAACTGCGATTCGTAAGATGGTGATCGATACGAAGTTTCACAATACGATTATTCGACATCTTACCGAGGAGAACAATTGTACGTTGAAAATATTTTTTTCCAAACGTTTTCACAATTATTTTAAAGAACTATATTTCAAAGTATTTCTGGTTCAGAGTTATCGACACGTTATCTCTTTCATCATTAAAAATAGTATTCTTTTGCAACGAATTTCGACAAGAGAATACCGCCATTGTCATAGACATACCTCTAACTTAACGGTTAATCACTTCTCGAAGAAATTCGCCATTTTTCAAAAGGAAAGTTTATCATGCAATAACTCTAGCTCATTTAATAAGAATAAAAGCGGAAATATATTTGAGAATAAACTTCTCGAGAATTGATTAATTTTCGCAAATGAACGTTACTTTCGTATTCTTGCGAAAAGATACTCTTCAAATTTTTATTATACTCTCAAAAAATATTCTAAACTCTCCAAAACTATTAATTATTTTAAAACACTCTTGAAATAATTTTTCTTTTCTTTACAGTGATCCCAGTCATGGTATACAACGATTACGACATCGTAATGTCCGGCGGGATCGAGATTCGTGGAGTAAAGGCGAACGTTATTCAACGACGTAAACAAATGGACGTGCCTACCCTAGAAGAGTACAAATTCGTGGCGAACCGTGACAGAGCGCAGATATCGATGGAAGAGATGATCATTTTGTCCATCCATCTCGCGTTGGAGTGTCACAGTATAAACAATCCAAAAATCCTCGAACTGCTACACCAGAACGACAAAGTATCCGCCGAGGAGATCTTCATTCCCATCGTCGTCAAGATGTTGAACAATATCGCGATGATTCGTCCAAGCTTGATTCTGGCCGCAGACCCGAAACAACGCGAGGAATTATCGCTCCCCGAGCATAACGTCTCCGTAATTGAGCCGAATAAATTACCGGAGGACGGCAGCGTTTTCATGGTAGCCGGCCACGACGTTATAACGAGCAAGAGAATAGACATCTTGGAACAATTTTTGCTCGCGATAAGCAATCACGGTTTTATCCTGCTTCAAGAGAGCGACGCGAACGAGGATATTTTCTCAGCTCTTCGAACGTACAATCTGAACATCGTATTGGAGAAGAGTTTCAACGACAAGATCTTGTTGCTTCTGAAGAAAGCTGCGGAGAAACCACCTCAAAAGATGGAAGTGGTGTACGTGAGGAACGACGAGTTCGGTTGGGTGGAGGAAGTGAAGGAAGTGATGAAGAAGGATAAATACACGAACAAAGCGATCAGATTGATATTAGTCGCGGAAGGAGATCTCGAGAATGGTGTTCAAGGTCTGGTCAAGTGCTTGGTAAGGGAGCCTAACGGCGAAATTGTGAGGACCGTGATAATCCAGGACGAAAATGCGCCCAAGTTCTCGTTGGACGATCCATTCTATTCCAAACAGCTCGACATAGATATCGTTTACAACGTGTTGAGGCCAGGAAAAATCTGGGGGACGTACAGGCACCTGCCTTATCCGGAGCCGAAGCCAACTTTGATCCCTCACGCCTATGCCGATCTGAAGGTGTGTTCGAATTCATTCATTGTCTTAAGAAAAATATTCTTCTATCGCGAAGCCTTTTTTTAAACTGTCGAACGCTTTGCAAATAGGTAAGAGGAGATCTGAATTCCCTCCAGTGGATAGAGGGCTCGATTCAACCAGACAAGAAGAACGTGGTCAAGGTGGTATACGCTTCTTTGAACTTCAGAGATGTGATGTTGGCCACTGGAAAATTGATGCCGGAAGCGATAATGAAATCCAGAATGGACAATTGCTTTATTGGCTTCGAATTCTCCGGGATCGATGCAAATGGGCAACGAGTGATGGGATTCGTGGACAGCAAGTGAGAAAGAAATATGAAACAATTTAGAATCTCTAGATTAATTTGTCAAATTAATTACAATTTTCAGGAGTATATCCAATCTAGTCACACCCCATGAATTAACCGTATGGCCCGTGCCAGAAGAATGGTCCCTGGAAGACGCTGCGACCGTCCCATCCGCTTACTTCACGGTTTTCTACGCCTTTTTCTACTTTGGAAAATTAAAAAAGGGGGAGAAGGTTTTGATCCACAGTGGAAGCGGGGCCGTCGGTCAAGCCGCCATCAACGTGGCCCTAGCCGAAAACTGCGAGGTGTTCACAACGGTGGGCACTGCCGAGAAACGAAAATTCATCAGGGAGACGTTTCCTAGCATAGACGACGATCACATTGGAAATTCTCGGGACACAAGTTTTGAGCAGATGGTGATGAGGCAGACGCGTGGCAAAGGGGTGGACATAGTTCTCAACTCTCTGGCTGAGGATAAACTCCAGGCGTCGGTTCGTTGCCTGGGTTACCGCGGTCGTTTCTTGGAAATTGGTAAATTCGACATGACTGTTAACAATCAACTGGGATTGGACATATTCTTGAAAGAAATTAGCTTCCATGCAGTGATACTCGATGCCATAATCTTTGGTTTTATCAAAGAAATACAGAAGGAAATATATCACTTTATCAATAAGCAATTGGCCGAAAGAAACATCAAACCTCTGGTGAGAAAGTGCTTTGAAAAGAATCAATTGGAGGAGGCGTTTAGGTACATGGCAGCAGGCAAACATATCGGAAAGGTGAATTACTTCCACTTATTATTCCTTCGATCGTGACAATAATCTCGTGAAAATAAATTTGTTTGCAGATTCTGATTAAAATATCGGATGAGAACACTCCTGTAACCACGCCGATTCTTGGTTATCCTCGTTTCAACGCTTTCGAGGATAGAACTTACTTAATCGTAGGCGGTTTAGGGGGATTAGGCCTAGAGTTTTCGGACTGGTTGATCTTCCACGGCGCGAAGAATCTAGTGTTGGTTTCTCGAAACGGGATCCAAACTGGTTATCAAAGAATGAAGGTAGAGATGTGGAAGTTTTACGGTATCAACGTTTCGATCATCTCTGGCGTGGATGCATCGAAATCAGAGGATTGCGAGTTTATACTGAGATCTGCAGAGAAACAGGCGCCCGTGGACGGTATATTCAACCTGGCAGGCTTGTTGAAAGACGGTTTCATGGTGAATCAAACCGTGGAATCGTTCGAGAAAGTTGTAAAACCGAAAGCCACGATCACCAAAAATCTGGACGTGCTCTCGAGAAAGATCTGTCCGAAACTTCGCCACTTTGTTGTATTTTCCTCCATCGCGTGCGGGAAAGGTAATATCGGTCAAAGTAACTATGCGTTCGGAAATGGAATAATGGAGAGAATATGCGAGAAAAGAGTGGAGGAAGGCCTCCCCGGAATGGCTATTCAATGGGGCCTTATAAAAGACGTCGGTCTCGCTGCAAAAGTGTTGAAGAACAAACAGGTAATCAGTGGGACCATACCTCAAAGCATACCGTCATTTTTAGAAGAATTGGAGAAATTCTTGTGTCATAGTAAACCAATCGTGTCTAGCTTAGTGATTGCAGATAAACAAGGTAACGTAAAAGAAGTTACGAATGTTCTTGAAGCAGTGATGAATATCATGAGTAAGTATAATTCCTCTCTTAATTTCCTTCTGATAAAATCATAATTTAATTTGCTTGCTTGGAATATTTTTAAATTGTTCTTTTGCAACGACAGATATAAAGGACTTGAAGAGAGTGAGGCAGACTGCTTCCCTAGCTGAATTGGGTATGGATTCTATGATTGCCGTAGAGATAAAACAGACTCTAGAAAGAGACTTCGACATGTTTCTAAGCGCACAAGAGATTAGAGTCTTGAACATAGCCAAACTTGTGGAAATGTCTGGGAAAAATATGAAAAATAAAGAATCGGTTAAAGAATCGTTGAATATTGAGACAGAAAAATTGAGCGGCATCAAACTGTTTATCAAAAGCTTGAACGTTTCGATATTACAAAATCAGTATTTCATAGAGCTTCCTATTAAATGTGGTGAAAAAAAGAACGAAGTATTTTTTATATCAGGTCTCGAAGGCTCTCACATTACTTTTTCCTCGTTAATTCCAATGTTAAAAGTACCTGCCACTTGTTTGCAATTAGGAATACACGACGTTGCTAATAGCATAGAAGAAATGGCCGAATGTCTTTTGCCCGTATGTTTTAATAATTACAGTAAAAAAAAAAAAAAAGAAAAAAAAAAAAAGAAGAGATTTCGGGATAAAAAAAAATATAATTCGTTCCTCTTTCTCTTCTCTCAGCATGTTTTAGCAAGGAGCAAAGATCGTAGAGATTTCAACATAGTTGCATATTCATACGGATCGGTTATAGCCATGGAACTAGTTAGGAAATTAGAACCTTACATTCTAATCGGACATCTCACGTTAATTGACGGATCTCCCGAATACATGAAAGCTATAAAGTCACAATATTTTGCGGTATCTACGGAAAACGAGTATCAAAATAAATTCCTCATCGAAATATTAAGCGTCATTAAATCACCCACTATCGAAAAGGTGAATTGTATTTTCCACGATTCATCCCGCAAAATTCGATTAATTTATACTAATTGATTTTTTTCCCCAGTTCAAATTTGAATTAAACAAGTGTAATAATTGGAACGAGAAGTTGGATATATTAGTTAAACACTCGACCGAGAATATTTTTAAGATGTACTCGCCAGAAATTTTAAAAGCTATTGTATCGTTTATTTATAAACGACTTTGTGCGTTGGACAAATACGATCCTATTTCCTTACCGCCTCTTAGAACATCTATTACGTTGTTGACACCAACGGTACCGGCTATAGAAGTAACAGATCCAACTTATGGATTACAAAAGGTTACATATATTGAGTTAATTAACATCAATAATTAATTCGTATAAGGATAATATAATGAAATTATTATTTTTATATAGTTAACTAATGGAACCGTGACAGTGCACAAAATAGAAGGAAATCACAATTCCATGTTGAATAATAAAAAAATCGCAGCGATTATTAATGGCGAACCTTTGGAGGATGAGGAAATGTTTAAGAAAAATTTAAAACTTTCCAAAGTCTAAATTAAAATCGTAGACAAGGACTAAGAAACTTTATCGTAAAAACTTATTAAATTAAAGAATATATCGTAAAAAAAGGTAATATAATATAATATAATATAATAGCATGAATATATATGTTCATTCTTTAACGATATATCTATTATTATCTATATATCACTTCTCATTCACAAATAAATAAATAAAGAATTAAATGTAATGTTATCATATTTTTATGCAAAATCATACAATTGGAAACATATCAGATATTGATATGTCAGATCACCCCCATATGACAAACAATGGATCATCATTCATGCAACAAATTGAATTATATATAATACAACCTTAACATCATAGAACCTTAAGATTACGTTGTATACATATACATACTGTAGAAATAAAATTACAATACATTAGACATTGGATAATTTTCCGAAGTGATTTAAAGTATCCGGAAATTATCTTATATTTATTGAGAAGGATTCTGTTTGACCATAAAATTTATCGTTATCTTTATTTTCATTTTTAGTCTTCATGTAGAAAATTATAAAGAAAATTCTAAATTTTGATCTATATCAGGATTAAATTTAAATTCTATTAATTTTTGATTCAGGCACTTCTAAGCAATTATCCAATATTTATTGTATTACGAGTAATTTTTTTTCTTCTTATTTTTACTTGTTATTTTATTGTTTATTTTTATTTTCGTTTATATACAGGATGATGTTTTAGGATGGATAATACAAAAGAACAGAAGATAATTTTAATACGCAAAAATAGATTAAAAGTAAAGAAATAAAATTTTTTCATTTAAAGTTTTGTTTCATTTTCAACTAATATTGGAATTGATTAATTTTCAATTGGATATATATTATTAATAAATGTGAATATAACTAAAACTAATAGGATAGAATTAAAGATTGAATATATACATTCAAAGAGAATAAATAATTAACATTGAATTATATATTAAGTATTAATAATTTTCTTACATAAAAAATGCTTCCTATTCAATAATTAAACTGCAGATAATTAAACCATATCCATTAAAATATATTTAAATGAATTTAGAAATACTATGTGTTTGTTGATGATAATTCTAAATCCATCTTAAATTATAAATCCTCAATGAATGATCAATACTAGATGATACCGGTTAATAATAATAATTAATAATTAATCAAATACTCATCAATACTATTTCGTTCAATTTTATCGAAAATTATTTTTAAATAAAAAAATTTTATTTTTATTCAATCGGAAGTTAGCTAAATTCATTTGTACTTTAAAAGTTTCAAATTTGATTTACTTAAAAATAAGATTTTAAATAAAAAAATCATATTTTGCATATATAATCATTTTCTGTCCATTTGTATCACTCTATATATCGCGTAATCATCATCGTATTTTAATTTCAATTGTAATAAAATGAAATGAAACATTATTAATAATAAAGGTACAATTATAATATACTATATTAACTCTCATTCAGAAACCGTGTCACTTTTGATTCATGTTTTTGATGATGTAAATGATATTTAATATCTACAAGTCAGATGGATCAAAAATGATCAAGATCGGCTATTTTTTAATCGGTGATTCGAGAGTTAATAATAATTATAATAATACTGAGTTTCTAATAAACCCAAAAATGTATATTTATTGAAGAAATTTTTTTTCTTATTTATTCATTTTTCTTCAATAAATTTACGCAAATAAATCATACGTAATATACAAAAGGAACTTGCTGATGTTATTTTGTTTACAATTTTATATTCTTATAATTGATAAGTAAAATAATAATATAACTTAATTCACTAACTTATAGAATGAATATAATTTACTTACTTACTTTCACTTAATAAAAAGAATTGCCATCCATTTACTTTACTCAACCTTGTGTAAGCATGTTAGTATCAGATAAAAAATATAAGATATAACTTTTTTTTTTTAATTTACATACACATTAAAATATAATATCGCATTCTTTCTTCTCTAACGATATATGAGAATGTAAAAACAATTTTTTAATTAATAAATTACCTTCATAATTCCATTGGTTCGAAACCTGACGAATTATTCGATAAAGTTTGATTTAAATCGGAAATAGCTTCATTATTATTATTATTGTTATTATTATTGTTGTTGTTGTTGTTGTTATTATTATCATCAGAAATATTAGGAATTGGAGTGGGTGTATCCCTAGTTGGTAATATACGAAGATGTTTATTCGGAGGTTCCCATAGAACTAAAGCCATGGAGGGCCTCTCCCTGAAAGAGAAAAACTATCAAATTTTATCTTTTTTATTAAAAAAAATATACTGTAATAAAATAAATAAACTTTAAAGCAATATTTCAACATATATATATAAATATATATATTATTTCACAAAAAATATATATATATTGTATAATATATTTAGACTTACAATTTGGATAATAAAGAATTTGGCAAAATAGGTTCTTTCTTGAGTCTTTTCAATTCTTCTGAAAGAATCAATCTGGGTCCAGATTTTAATTGATCTGTATTAGCTGCATCTATTTCTAACTCCATATTCAATTCTCTAGAAGGAACTGGTTGTGTATCAGCTGTTGAAGTTGATGGTACAGGCGAATGTTGTTGATAATTGGAACTAATATGCAAATCTTTGAAATGTGCAGCCATTTTTTCTTCTGTTATAAACTGTTTTGTTTGCCTCCTATAATATTCCATACTCACTAAATATTACATTAATAAAATAAAAATTTTTTTCTATTATATATTATTATTTAAATTGCTTACATATCTAACAGATCACAAGTTTCAAGTTTTCTCTTTTGATGAGGAACTGGTTCAAAACTTGGTCCACCAGTAAATCTTACTAATTCTGGTTGTTGGAGAGATGGCACACTCCATGGTATTGACATTGGAGGTACTTGTGGCATTTGCATCCATGTTCCTGGTTGTTGTGAAGTACTTTGTTGACCCATCATATGTTGAAATATGGATGGAGGGGTATGAAGATTCGCTCCTCCCATTGCATTCTGAACCGGAGTAGGAGAATAGATTTGATACTGCGTAGATAGTGCTGCCATGTTTTATAGTAAAGATCGACAAATAATTTCAAATATAACAATATAAATATGTTATATAATTGTTATATAAATATAACAATTTATTTTTAAAAAACTATATAACTAATATAACAATTCTTTCGATATTCGATTGCATTTTTTACAAAAATAACAATATTTATAATTGATAACTGTTTAAAGTATTTTTTTATGTAATCATATTAATAAAATTTTTATAAAATCACAAATACAAATAATATATTTTCAGAGTATCTTATTGTAATTTTTTGTAATTTATTGTAATTTAAATCAATATATAAAACTTGTAAATAGTAAATTGCCTACTGTCATTTGGAATCACCAAAACTTGAAATAATATACTTGAATCTTCAAATGTGCGGTGTGATAAGTAATGTCTTTGAAGAATTTCACAAAAATATTTGTATTGTGTAACATACGATTTTGGCACAAGTCTTGGGAAAAAAGATGTATAACAAATACGTTTCAAGACACTTCGTCGCACGATACGAATCCTTGAACTATTTGCGAGACGCTAACCTCTATTACCTACTTGTGATAGCTCAATATAGAATGTAAAGTATAACGATATGCAAATGCTCGCTAAATCGAACAAAAAAAATCTCAAACGTTAGACTGAGTAATAATATATTTATCTGTGACACTCGTTCTATAATATGCGATGCATTGTTCGAGAAAGATCGTGGAGAACTGTTTGTTTTTCTCTCACACAGACCACGATAGACCAAACAATTATATGTAAGATTGACATCAACCAATAGTTTTTAATTAATAGTCCGCGTGATTTTATATTTGTTTCGTGAATGCGTGCAAACGTTATAAAAATCGTAAGCATACGCAAATCATAAGATCAACTGCATTGCGGAACAACAACATTCATTCGCTACTTTACTCAACTATATTCCCACAACCTTTAAACAACGAACACAACTATAGAAATGTTTGCACATGCGTATACGTATCGCGGCGAAACGCGATTCTACAAATGTCTGGAATATTCCTATTCAAAAGAAATCACAAACATATTTAAATATAGCTTTCATAGTATATAATTGTATATAATATATAATATGATATTTATATCATTAAAATATTTAAAATTATGAAAATTCATAATTTTATTTATAATATATGATATTTTTATAATTTTTTTTAATAACTTAATGACAGAATTACTAGGGACGTTGATTTTAATTAAACTTATGTAATAAACCTAGAATAAAAAAAAATAGTTTCATTTATAAATATATCAAGACATACAAATATATTTAATTTCCTAATATCACTTTAATATCACTCTAAAACGTATTACTATTTCAAAAAGTAACACTAGCTCAATATAACAAGAACCTCAGCAACAACCCTAAAATAATCGATTTAAATCTAATATAAATACAAATATAAATTATTTATAGTATTTTTTCTATAATGTATAATATAAGAAAAATTAAATATATTAAATATATGTAATATAAATATAAATATTAAAAATATATACATTTCACTTTCTATGTAAATGTTGTATATGTATAAATAGAACAAGATATATATATAACATGTTTAATAGACTAATAATAAAATAGCAGATTAAATTTTTGTATAAATACACAATCAATTTCGTATAAAAATATATGCCATTCAATTCTAGTTCCATACGGTACTTGCATAAATATATATTTGTACAAGCTCAATTCACGTGTAGCA